CCGGCCTCAGCCAGGGCCACGCAGAGGCCTCCCAGAGCCGCCCATGGCCCTGCCTCCTGGTGAGGACTCCAGGGGGTCAGAGGACCGCCAGCGGGGGGCCTGCAGGTCATGAGCAGGGTCCCATGGGCAGCAGCTACGGCCATGCTGGTCCCCACCCTCAGCCCCGCCCAGGAGCATGGTCCAGTCTCTAGTTCCTCCCACACATTCCGGACCAGAGGCTTGCTGGGCACAGAAACCAGGAAGTCCACACAGGAGCTGCAGCACTGGAGTGACAAAGCCTGCAGGGGGTGGGGGGAGGGGAAGGGCCCAGGGCCCGGGGCCAGGAGGGCAGGTGTGAAGGCAGCCTTCTCCCTCCCAGCTCCCATTCCGGCTGGCCCCTGGCCCACAGGTGGCTGCACAGCTCTCAGGCACAGGGGGCCACTAACCCTCCCCGAGGCCTTTAGACAATAAACTCAGGGCAGATGGGATGAAGTGAAAGCTCTGAAGCGTCTGCTGACAAGCCTCCTGGCCAAAGCAGGATTGACCACTGCCCTCCAGGAGGGGCTGCCCCACAGGCCTGTCCAGGCCTCCCTCCCTGCGGCTCGGCCCCTCGGGAAGCTGCAGCCTCTGACCACCCCCGGGAGGACCGGGCAGGGCCTCCATCCTCACCTGCAGAGACAGGGGCCCTCACCCGGGGCAAGGTCGCCAGCTACTGTGCAGATGTGTGGGCTGGGGACCCGCGTACTGGCCCATCCACAGGTACCGCTGCCCTCCCCGCAGCTCAGGACAAGAAACAGGCCCGGGAGACGGCTCAGGACAGGAGACGGCCAGGGACAAGGGCTCAGGACAGGAGACGGCCAGGGACAAGGGCTCAGGACAGGAGACGGGCCGGGGACAAGGGCTCAGGACAGGAGACGGCCAGGGACAAGGGCTCAGGACAGGAGACGGGCCGGGGGGAGGGCTTAGCGAGACCCCGCAGCCCTTCCCTTTCCTGAAGGGACCAGAAAGCGCCCTTATTCTCCTCACAAAGGCCCAATTTGGGTCTCAGCTCCAGCGGATCGGGAGCTGCTGCCGCTGCCCAGGGCGGGCAGAGGGCCCCTGTGATGCGTTTCCAGCTCCAGGCGTCAACAAAGGCGGCTTTCTCCTCCCTCCAGGGCCGAGGGTGCGGGTCCCCTTTTGCAGCAGGAGCACAGCCCGTGGGATGGCTGGAGGGTCCTTTCCCGTGAGAAAGACGACACCCTGAGGGTCCTTCCAGGCGCCCAGAGGCCACCACCCCCCCCCCAGGGTCAGGGAGGAGCACGGGCCTCGGGGCTCTGGGAAGGTCACCCCGCCAGTGCTCCTGCTGGACCTCCAGCCGGGACAGGGCCCCACGGGGGGCGTACCAGCGTGGGGCAGGGTGGTCACCTCGCTGTGCCAGCTCACGTGATTCCTGAAAACCATCTCATCTTTCCTCATTTCTCAGAAGCACCGGCCATTCTCTTCTTTAAAAAGAATTTTACTGAAACGTAACTGGGGGTCATGTTGCCGAGCGCAACACAGCTTCCGTGGGGGGCACCGGGGAGGAGCTGCGGTCACGAGAAGACACGGCGCGAGGTGCACAGACGTCCGTGTTCCCAGGCAACCACCTCCTCTCCCAAACACACGGTATGAGACTTCAAGCGCCCAGCTTTGTCCACGAGGTACTGCCCATGTTATTTTGAGGGTGCGAGGAGGTATGGGGGTCCACTGTGCCCTCTTCCAAGACACAGGCTGAGAGCACGTGCCCCCTGCCATGTGCCGGCCTAAGGCTTTGCCCTTTTTGGTTCTTGAATGGAGCCGTCTGCCTTGTTCTTGATTTATGAGACCTTCAGTATTACCAGAGGCCCCGTGCACGGAATTCGTGCACGGGTCGGGTCCCTCGGCCTGCTGGGGATCAGGGCCGAGTAAGGCCTTCCTTCTGGCTGCCGGCCAGGGTCTTCCTTCGTTCCGCACCGCCCCCTGGTGGTCAGCACATGCCACAGTGAGCGATTGAACTCCGGTCGAACTCCCCAGGGAACACCTTGCATATTAGCCTTTTATCTACATAGATGGACGGCTGTAAGTCCTTCTCAGGTACAAGTCAGGCAAGCACCTCCGCTTACTCTACGGGTTGCCTCTTCATTCTCCTAAGGGTGTGTTAGCTTTTTTTTTTAATATATATATTTCTTTATTGATTTCAGAGAGGAAGGAAGAGAGATAGAAACATCAATGATGACAGAATCATTGATTGGCTCCCTACTGGGGATGGAGCCTGCAACCCAGGTATGTGCCCTTGGCCAGTATTGAACCTGGGACCCTTCAGTCCGCAGGCCAAAGCTCTATCCACTGAGAGAAACTGGCCAGGGCGGGTGTGTTGGCTTTAACAAAGTCAAGGTCACCAGCCGTCTTCCTGTGGCTGGGGCTTGATCGGCGGGAAAGGCGGCAAGCACCTTCCCTCAGGCTCGGAGGGTCTTCCCACTGCTCCTCGAGAATCAGATGTAAGTCTTACTGCTCCTCTTCAAATAATGTGACTTCTTTCTGAGGCTTTCATCGGCTTTTACGGTTTTATTTTTGCCTCTCTTGTTCAAAACTTTACGACACTGTGACAGGACACGTTTATCCTACTCATCGTAGAGCTGAAGCGTTTGGACACTTCTGGAACATTCTCAACCAGCACCCCTTCAGCCGCTGCTCCTTTCCCGCGCCCTCGCCCCCACCCTCGCTCATCTAGGCCTCGTCACACTCTTTTCCAGGTTGTCCTTCAGCTTCTACGCATGGGAGGGTTGGGCTGATACAAGTCAGCGAGTGCAACTGCCAGCAACTGCCCCGGACCAGGCCCAGCCACAGACCCAAGGTCCAATACCAACTTTGTTTTAGGTGTTTTATTGATTTCACAAAGAGGAAGGCAGAGGGAGAGAAAGAAACATCCGTAATGAGAGGGAATCATGGACCGGCTGCCTCCTGCTTGCCCCACAATGGGGATCAAGCCCACAACCCGGGCACATGCCCTGGTCAGGCCTCGTACTGTGACCTCCTGTTCATAGGAGGACGAACAGCCACTGAGCCACGCCGGCAGATTGTCAAATGCCAACTTTTAAAAGGTCATTTGTCCAGGCCGACCCCTGCAACCAAGGCCCTGCCCTCAGCCCCTCCTGCTCTTCCCTGGCACCAGCCACACCCTGTGTGGTCCCCTCGGTCACGGCCACGGCGAGTCCCCGCACCCACCTGCTGCCGGCCGCCCGTCTGCGCCGTGGGAAGCAGAGCCCGGGACTTCTCCGCAATTGTCTGTTGGAAGCAGCGCGGGGCGGGGGGTGGGGAGGGGGTGTGGACAAGGGAAGAACAGAAAAGGCAGGAGGAGAGGAGAGACGGTCAGACAGACAGGCAGCACCGGGTGACGCCTGACAGCAGAGCACGGCCGCCCCCGGGAGAGTGCAGCCCCCCAGGGTCGCAGGAAAACTGGGCACGTGGCCGCCCTGCCGAGGACGAGGACCCGTGGGACAGCTGCTCCCAGGACTCCCTGGGCTAGTTCCCCACCATCACAAGGGGCGACACCTGGCTCCCCACCTCCTGGGAGGCCGTCATGCAGACATCTCCCGGGCGGCACCAGAGTGCCCCATCCTTCCCTGCACGCGGCCTGGGGTCACCCCGCAAGGATGGCCCTTCCTCTGCTGTGAGGGCGGGGGCCGCACCAGCCCAACCCAGGAGAGACGGCCAGCGTGGGTGCCCGAGGGAGCGAGGCCCCCACCCGGCCAGCACCAGCGCCACCAGTGCCCTCACCGTCTGCACCGCTCCGTAGCGCTGAATGGTGTCCGAGAGCTGAGTTTGCAGGCGGTCCAGCTGAAGCCGCTCCTGCTGCAGAGAGAGAGAGAGAGAGAGAGAGAGGGCGCCTCACCCCATCACCTCACACCCAGCTCGGCTCCAGGCACAGCCAGTATCACCATGGACACTCACCACCCAATCACCGTGGACACCCTAATACCCAGCCTGGTTCCAAGTGCAGCTGAGCTCTTGGCATTGGCACTATGTGCCCCAGGCCTGAGCGCCGTGCACGCAGACCTGCCCCAC